CGGCTGGGTGTCGTGAGGCCACTCATACCCACCTCCAGAGGGGTAAGAGAATGAATTCCTGGTATTTATGGCACCCAGTTTGTGGTGCTTTGTGATTCTGGCCCCAGAACACTAACAGAGCCCAGGGCCCCCGGAACCCACAGGCAGAGTGGGGTCTGGGTGGGTCCGGCCTAGTCCCAGCCCTGAGACAGGTAATGTAGATGCAGGGCACTGGTGAAGAGACCACACACACTGTCCAGGTTGAATCGTGGTGTTTTACTCAATGCACAGGCCCACTGGGCGTCCAAGCCCATCCCTGTGACAGCAGGACCTTCCAGAACTTCTCACGTGCAACCCTGCATGGGATTCTGCCCTGGGTCTCCCCCGCAAACCCACCTGGCCCGTTCTTGTGGCACAAGCATCAACCTGTCTGTGTGGAGTAAGTTAATTTCGCGGCTAATCAGTTAGAAAACTAGAGTTCATTCCCTGGGCGTCTATCCCTAGAAAACGGACAGTGCACAAAGCCGAGATGGAAGTGTGTGGGTGTGACACGTTCTCCAACAAGAGGCCTGGTCACTGTGGTGCACGGATGAGTACAAAATGGTCGGAAGGTACATCAGTACTGAAGGCATTATGAAATATTCTTTGGAGCATGAACAAAAGTGCAGACAGCCGAAGGCAACAGCACAGATGGGGCAGCTGCAGCCGCCCAGGGGCCGGAGGACGACAAACCGCGGTGGGCACAGGTGTGCGTGTGATGCACGTGATCCTAGGCAGACAGCGTTCAGAGGGATGGGGCTTTGAGCGCCTCAGTGTGTGACGGCCAAGCAGGCCTACCAACCTACGCCCATCTCTGGAGCTGGTCCCTCCGGCCCCTCACTAGTCCGACCTGGGGGCAGGGTTTAGGGTGTCCGTGCCTGGCAGAGGCCAGGGGGCATGGGGTGACCTCGATAAGTTCCTGTCAACATGCATTAAGGCAACAACTTTGTAAAACCCAGCTGGAATTGGGTGTGAGGCGCAGAGCGACGGTCACACTCCTGCCTCAGTGCCCCAGGGACCCCATCTAGGGCCCTGGGGACTGTCCTCTCATCACCAGCACCTGACCAAGAGTCAGACATTGAGGATTTTTCAGGACAGGGCCATTGGCCAGACTCAGTATCCTCAGTCAGCCAGGGGCACCAAAGGCAAGTGTCCACAACAGGAGCTCACTCCACTGTACTGCAAGTCCTACAAATTCGGTAGAACTTTAAGAGGTGCCTCCCCCCCAACTTCCTCTACCCTGCTTCCGAGAGACTCCCTGCCACCATCACCACCTCCCAGGGCCACCATCCTCCCACTCACCCTGGACGGCTGGGTTCAGTAAACTGTGACAAATGAGAGGCAACTGCCTGCGATGGCCACGTGGGTTCCCCCACTGGGTATTTCAGCCCCACGCTCTTTACCCCACCGCCTGGACATACACGCAGGTGGCCTAAGAGGTTGTGGGGGGCAGGGTCAGAGGCAGGCCTGTCCACACCAGGGCTGAGGGCAGCTGATGTCCTCAGTATGCCTCATGTGGGCCCCCACTGTGATGCCAGGTGCCCCGGACACCTTTGGTGCCTCTCCGCCTATGGTGGGTCCTCACTGTCCAAACTGCTATTGTGTGTCCTGTGCTTTCCTTCTGATCCTGCATCTGTGTGGTCACCTGTGATCCCCTGCTCCACTCAGGATTTATGATCGGGGTGAATTGGAAACACTGACATGAGGTGGTATTTCTGCAAAGGCTCTCTGTGACTCTGGGAGGCATCTAGGACTCTCTCTGGACTCAGTTCTTTCATGCAGAATGGAGTTCCTCCCACATCAACTTCTCAGGCCCATGACCACCAAGGTCTCCAGCTCAGTGAGGCCTGATACAGTAAAAATTCACAGCATTCCCAGCTGGTGACTTCCCTTGGGTGTGGGCTTAGGGTGATGGACCCATAGACTTGAGGGTCACCAGGAAGAAGCCCCAACACTATTGACCTCCAGGCAGGGGTCTGAGGCATGCCCCAAAGGTAGAGGCACCCCTCAGGGGCCTGTAGCCTCCTATGGGGAGGAGCCTGGCCCCTGCCCCTCTAGAACCTCTGCTGTGAGAGGAGAGGGCCGGGCCTGCTGCCTGGTGGCCCAGCATAGTAGGCAGTGGAGAAGACTCTCAGGACCTCGATTTTACCTGGACAAAAGGGGACAATGCTGACAGCAGAGGTGGGTAGCATCCAGTACCACCAGGGCCAGCCAGACTCCAGGAAGCCCTGGCTCCAGCCTGACCACTTGAGGACTCAGCAGACCCCACCCTTTGGATGGCTGCCTAGCCTGCTGCCCGGGAGCTCTGGGCAGCTCAACCCCTGCCTCAGGGTTCAAGGTTCCAGAACCATCTGCGACTCTTGGGGTCATGGTTACTTCCTTTCAGACCCTCCTCAGGCAGCTCAAGCCCAGCAGAGCTGAAAAGAGAGGCCAGAGACAGAAGGACAGCCCAGGTTGGACATATGGTGGGTGCACACATGTGTCAGAGAGTGTCAGAGTGTACCTGTGTGTGCACGCACATGTGTCAGAGTGGAGTGTGCATGCGTGTACCCATGTGAGTCAGAGTATGCACATGTGCCAGAATACATCTCCGTGAGCATGTGTCAGTGTGCCTGTGTGTGTACATGTGTGTCAGAGGGTGCCTATGTGTGTGCACACATGTGTCAGAGGGTGTCTATGTGTGTGTACACATGTTAGTGTGCCTGCATGAGTGTGCAAATATCAATGTGCCTGCATGAGTGTGCACATATCAATGTGCCTGCATGAGTGTGCACATATCAATGTGCCTGTGTGTGTGTACATGTGTCAGTGTGCACATACCAATGTACCTGTGTGCGTGTACATGTGTGTCAGAGGGTGCCTATGTGTGTGCACACAAATGTGTCAGAGGACACTTTTATGTGAATGTACGTGTGTCAGCGTGTGCCTGCATGAGTGTGCACATGTGTCACAGTGGAATGTGAATGTGCATTCATGTCAGAGAGTGTCTATGTGAGTGTGTGCACCTGTGTGTTTACATGGGTGTGTAGTGAGCATGCGTGTATCACACATATGCAGGTGAGCACACGCATGTGCTAGTGGGCATGTGGGATGCATGCTGTAACAAACGTCTTGGGAAACCTCTGCCAGGGTGAGGTGGCACTGGCTCTTGGCCACACTCACACACACACCCAGAAAAGGGTAAAATCTTCTGCATAAACACCCAGCTCCTTCCAGTGGCACTTCTCTGAAAGTGAGGGGCCAGGGGCAGTGGACGGCTGCTCTGCTCAGACCTGCATCTCCCCCAAACTGGGCCCCCATCTTCCCAGGGACTAGAGGCTGATGGTTCCACACATTCATCCTCCTCCTGCTGTGGCCCCAGCAGGACTCTCCTGGCCTGACCTGGCCTGGCCTGGCCTGCTGGACTGCCAGGGCTGCTGGGAGGGGAGGGAAAGGGGGCATTTTGCCCCTCAGAACCCCCACATTCCCAAGAGTTCCCAAGGCTTGAGGAAGGCTGCAGAGCACATCCAGCACACAACCCCGACCAGTGGCATGGAACTGGGGCTGCATGGGGGCCAGGGCTGCTGCTATTGGTTTGGACTCCTCCGCTCCTGCCTATGGGCCCCAGCTGGAGCCTCACTGTCCCATGGCAGGGACACTGCAGTGTCCACACTGAAAGGGACTTCTCACAACTCCAGGGCCTGCGGCCACTCACATGCCACCCTGGAGAACCAGTGGCTCTGGGCACAGGGAGGAGGTAGAGCGGGAGACCAAGTACTCTAGCCAGGGTGAGGGCGGCCAGGGACTCTATAGCAGCAGCAACTCACTCATCATGGGTGGCAGATACTGCTCCCCAAGATCCCTGGGTGCACAGGACCCCCCAAAGCCAGGGCAAATGCCTCTCAAATGCTGCTTTGGAAGTTCTTTTAACCACAAGGTCTCCCTAGTCAGAACAGCCCAAGGGCTCCCACACTTGGTATTGGGAGGGTTGCACCTGGCTCCCACCCTGGCCTACCTGTCAGGGAGGCCTCACCTCAAGAGAGCCCAGCCCCTACCCTGTGACACTGTCACTCCAAATGGCAATGACTCTGAAGGAATAGAACAGGGTCCTGCTCTGCCTCACCGGGGTTGGGCCTGCTCACCAGGGCCCAGAGCAGGGATGGCAGGCCCCCTAAGACCCTGAGAAGCCACAGACATGGGACTGGTCAGCAGAGGATAGGGGCAGGGGGCAGCCAGCTCCATGGGGAACAAGAGAAGGAGGACCCCAGCCAGGCTGAGGTGGGAGTGACATTCTCCAGAAAGGCCAGGAGAGCAGCCCCTACCAAGTACGGTGGGGGCTGGGGGACTGATGGTGTGAAGGCTTGTCCAGCCACTCTGGGTCTGTCGAAAGTGGGGGACAGATGAGGTGGGAACTCCAGCTAGGAACCACGAGGAACTGCTCTCTCGGGTCTTGAGGTGTTGGCTACAGCCTAGTGTCCAGTATCTAGCCAGGACAGTCCAGATAGGAGGGCACTGCAGGCTCTGGCACACCAGGATAGCCAGGGCTGAGGCCACTGGAGCCCCCACATCCCCTTCAGAAGAACCAGCAGAGCCAGCACCCTGGCCCACCTTGGGCTGGGCCCTCACTGGTGAGGCTAAGGTCAGAGGGTCCAAGGCTCACTCTGGCCTCTGGTTTTGGTTCTGAGGCCCCACCCCCTTTTCAGCTGCTGGCAGGGTCCTGACCCCAGTCCACTACCAGTGAAGAAACCCTCAGAGCTCAGAGGGACAAGGAGAAGATGCTGACCAGCAGCTCTCTGGCCATGGGCCCAGGAGGTGAGGGGACATCGTTCCAGCTGTGCCCACAGAGGCAGGAACCCAGGAGCCAGGGCAGGCCTGGTCCATGGGTGGCCATGCTCTCCCGCAGCCACCCAGCAGGTCTCAGAACAGGCCCCAAGGCCAGGCATCCTCCCCGGCTCTGCTTTGGGCCCCATAACTCCACCTGCGCAGGGCCTGCCCCTACAACAGCTGCACCCTTGTCATCGCTCTAGCCCCCACACGGATCTGCTCCTCAGCCTTGAGCAAAGTGGACAGGGTGGCCTTGCTGCCCCAGCATGTGCTCCTGGGCCACCAGAGGCCCCAACCAGCCATCCACCCTGTTGGAAAAAACTTTTGTAAAATGTGGCCACAAGGTGTCCTGTACTTCAGTCCCCCACTCACTCCAGTTACTCTAAGAAAAGGGCCCATGGGGTCCCCGCCTCAAAGCCTCAGAGGCACAAGTTGGAGAGGGTGGTGGACGTCCAGCAGCCTCATGGCCTCACTTCCTGGGCCCAGGCCAGCCCATGTCCCCAAAGGGGCCCTCACCTGTGGCTGAGCGGGGCGGGGGCCCACAGGGGGTGCAAAGGTCCGAGTCTGTGTCGGACTCGCCCTCCGCAATGTAGGGTCTGACTTTGGCGCAAGGCGCCACGGCCGCGTAGCAGCTGCTGAGGGCATCCAGGTTCTCCTTGGACTGGGAGATGCTGAAGCCGCTGAAGGAGCGTTCCAGCTCCTCGTGGTCCACGGATGGGATGGAGATGGATGTGTCGCTGTCCCGTAGGGCGCCCTCATGGGCCCGGCAGGCGGGGGCATCCTCCTGCCTCAGGAATTCCGTGCTGGCCCTGCTGCCCCCGCCATAGGCAGACAGCGACCGCTCGTGGGCAGGCGGCGGCGGGATGCGCACCAAGGAGCCATGGTCCCCCACTGGGGAGGTGCCGTGGCCCTGGCGCGAGTGGCTCTGCTGCTGCCACGAGGTGGAGGGCGGACACTGGGCTGGGGGTGCAGCTGGCAGCGCCGAGAAGTTCTTCTGACCTGTGGAGCTGGTGGAGCGCACGATCTTAATGATGCAGCCATGCTTGTCCACCGGCTCACGGCTGTCCTCCGGGCTATGGTACGGTGGCGCCGGCTCCGGGTCCTTGGCCCCAAAGTAGGCCTCCGTCTCTGTGGGGGGGATGCCCATTCGCTGCATGTAGATGTTGACCAGGAAGTCCAGCTTCTTCTCCATGGACAGCACCTGCAAGAGGAGCTTTTGGGTCAGCTGCTCTGGGAGGCAGGGGTCCCGGGCTGCTCTCTGAGGACATGCAGGGCACAAAGCGCTGCTCCCTAGGAAGTGGGGGCACACTGACCCATTGGTCAGCATCTGGCCTCCTGCATGTGGGGCCTGGGGCCGCCCTTCTGCCTGCTGAGGGTCAGCCTTGAGCAAACTCCAGGGAAAAAACTGGGTGCTCCCCCCAGCTCAGGCTCCAGAAGCAGACCTGAGGTTCCAAGGACCTATCCGAGGCAAGGGGTGGCAGAGGGTTGGGCAGGTAGGCAGGGGAGGAAGGCCAGCTCCCCAGGGAGCTCCAAGGTATGTGCAGACACAAGTCTTGCCCCTTGACTGTCCCCACCCACAACTACAGGCACTGCAGCCCTCAGGTGCGGTCAGAAGAGAAAGTGCCCGAGCTCTGTCGTGGCTCCTGGTGGAGTCTGAGAAGTCGGAGTGGCCCTGGCTGGGACAGAGCCAATATCCCTGGACCTTAGACCTCAGTAGGTTCCCCTCATATGTTCCAGGCCCAGGCTTACAGAGCAGCCCTCTGTCCTGGTCTCTCCTACCTGTCTTTCCACCTTCCCCAGCCGCCCCATCATGCTGGGGTCCTCTGGCAGCTCCGCCTCAGTTGGGCCCTTGGTGCGGTCCTTATCGGTGATCGCCGGGCCCCGCCCCACGATCTGGTCCACTCTGCCAGGAACAGAGACCCCACCCCCAAAGCATGAGTTTAAGGTGTGGCAGGGCCCTGGCCCTCTCCTCCTGGGCCAGGCCCAGCCCAGAGTCAGCCAGGGGGTCAGTGGGTGCCAGGCCAGATGAGCCGGTGTATCCGTGCCCACCCTGTGTGCTGACACCCTGGGGTCCCGTGCCCTCTCCGTCCCATCCCAGGGGACCTGGCACATTAAAGAGGAGTAAAGTGAGAGGAGCCTCCCTGGGCCCCCATGCTGCTTCTAGTCTGCCCACGCAGTGCCCTCCCTCCCCTGGCTGGAAGGCCCAGAAGGTCACATGACTGGTGCCCAGCTGGGCTGTGCCTGAGCCACACCCCACCCCGAGCTTTACTCCCACATAATGTGCCATCAGGGCACTGGCCCATCCAGGCCGATAGGGACGGAGTTAAACGTCTACAGCAGAGAACAAGCAGGAGGGCGGCGAGAGCTCTGGCTCCATGCTCCAGGACAGGGCTTGGGGACATAGAGCAGCACAGAGACCACCAACACACGACCAGGGAGGGGACGAAGCCGCTGGGAACCAGAGGGAGGAGGAGAGTGTGGGTGCATGTGCACACCATGTGCATGTGTCTGTGGTGCACACGCACACACGTGGGTGTGTGTGTTCATGTGTATATGCTAGAGTATATGATATGGTTATATGTGTGCACACTGGTGTGTACGGGATTATGCATGTATGGCCTGTAGGTGCGCATATGTGTGCAGGGTGCAGAGCTTGGCTGAGTTGATCTCCAGTGAGGCAGCAGGTCAGTAATGACAGTGAGAAGGGAAGGTGGCACCTTCGCAGGGCAGGGGCATCTGTCCAGCCAGCATGGCATCAACAAATGTGCACAGCCCCATAGACAGGCAGGCAGGGCCACAGAGGTGGCATGGGTGAGAACTCGCCAGGAAGCAGAGGCTCTGCACTAAGTCCACAAGCCTAGCTGCCGGACAAGGCTCGGACGGGTGTGTCCAGGTAGAGCTGGCCCAGGCCAGGTCCTGTCTGGCCCTCCACACGGCAGCCTCTCGTGTGACATGCACCCTGGCAGGCGCCACACCAGCCAGACAGGGCCACGCCCCATTTCCTGCCTCTGATGGGGGGTCGGGTGTTTTTCTTTCTGTTGCGAGAAACAGAAGAAGGTTCAGGCTTGCATCAGCCACACTGCAGCTCCTCATGCTCCACTGGGCTTCATGCTGGACTCATGCAGAAAGGGCCGGGACAGGAAAGTCACAGGAGGGGCCCTCTGGCTCCAAGCAGACACCAGTGGGCACAGAGGAGAGGGGCTCACTGGTGTCCCCAAGTGTCACACGTTCCAGGCACAGATGTTCAGCACCTTCACCCCTGCCACATGACGGGCTGTCCCCGGTCAATCCCACGGGAGCCTGAACAGGGTTCAGCCTGGGACAGCTACAGGTGGGGATAGGGGAGGGTCCTCTGAGGACCCCAAGCCACCTCCTGCCCTGGACCATGCTCAAGGCCACTCAACACCCCTGAGGTGGAGGAGTGGACTCCAGACTAGCCTTTGGCCCCTTCTCTGTGTGCCTCTCCTCATCCCTGGCTCTGAATATCTAGCTGCCGTCCGTGTAGCAATGCCCAGGACGGGACTTCACTCTCAAGGTGCTGTGCCCTGGGGTCTGGGAACCACAGCAGAACAGGGAAGATGCACACACCGTCCTGCTGTGTCCCCAGGGACTCCCCCCTCACCATCCAGCCCACTGACCCTCGTCCCCATGTGCAGAACCGCAGCACAGAGGGGGCAGGTGGACTCGCCCCCACACTACGTCTATGGTCACCCTCCTCACCCTGCTCCACCACGCACTCTGCCCCTCCTCCATCAGCAGGGTCCAGTGGCTTCCCTACCAACACCAGCGGCTGGTGACGGGCTACTTGAGATAAGACTGACTGGGGCTCTGCTTGGTGTGGGGCCATTGCGGGGGGTCTCTGTGCTCATGGTGGCATAGGAGTCTGGCACTGCCACTGCCTACTCCTCTCCATGAGGAAAGAGCTGCAGAGAGCCACACAGCGCCAAGGTCACTGTGGGGGGGGGGGCAGCATGCACCTTGGTGGCCACTGTGCCTAGATGTGACCCCGCAGGCCTTGCTTCTCTGCTTCTGCCGGAGCCACCTAGCCACAGATGGCATCACTTGAGACGCCCATGGAGGCCCCAGCTTCCCCAGGAGGACCCACCAAGAGTGGCGGCTGAGCACTCACAGCCCTGACCCCCACACAGCTGCCTGGGGCCCTGGGCCAGGAACAGCCTCTCAGACACAGAGAAAATCCCAAGTCCCCTCTATCTCTCAGAAGAGAGTGTGAGGCGCTGCCGTCATGTGGCCTGGAGTGAAGGGCTGGCCCATTCACAGACAAGGCGGGCGTGGCGCTGCGTCCTGACCTAGGTGAGTACTGGGGTGACTCTCTCGGAGGGGCCGTGGGTCCTTTGGTGGGGTACTTCTTGTGCCGGGGAGTTGAAGGGGGTGGGGGGCCCACAATCATATCTATCCTGGCAGAGTAAACAAGAAGAGAGACACCAGCGAAATGCATCATAAAAGCAACATGAAAGGGCGAGTCGGCTAGAAAATTGCAGAAACAGAACAACCCAGCTTAAAACAAAGTGACACTTTGTAAAAATATATTCCACTCAAAACAGCAGGCAGTTGACAGCACCCGCACTTGACCTTGGATTCGCCAAACCTTTCCATGTTTCAAGCAAAACCTCTAAGGAGCTGGCCCAGCAGCTGTGCAGCTCCCCGGTGTGAGCCCATGCACGATCGTGGCTTGTGCACACAACCCAGGGTCATGAGTCACAGAAAACACCCTGGGTTCCTTCGTAGGCTGATTGGTTTTGTTTGTTTTCCAGACAGAAAGACATGTGGAAACATAGCACAAGCGTCACGACCCTGGGACACTCACGCACACGTACCACACACACCCACACGGCACAAGTCTGCCACATACTGCTGAGGGCACTGAGCCCTGGCACTCAGAGGGGACTGCCCTCTTGCACCTCCCAGTGGAGCAGGTTAGGCCTGGGGTGGGGCAGAGCAGGTGCCTCACCCATCCTCACCGCAGAGAGCTAGGAAGAGCTGGAGAAGGCAGGGTAGGGCCCATTGGCATTAGACTTACCCAGGAGCATCATGAGCTATCACCTGCATAGCCTCCTCACAGGTGCTGTGAGCACACAGGCATGTGCACGTGCTCGTGTGTGTGGCTGAGGGTGTGCACCTGCAAGCACGTGTGTGTGCACTCTTGTGACATGTGTGTGAGGGCTGGAGCACGGCTGTGTGTGCACACATGCGTGTGGGAATGGACATAGGTCTGTCTGTGCACGTCTGTATGCCTGTATGTGCATACACATGCATGTACATAGGACTGGGGGTGAGTGGGTCCATGCTCACATGACTGAGTGGCCAGCCCTTGGATGTGTGTCCTTCTCAGCATCTCCCCCTTTACTAGAAGGACAGGATGGACACACACTGTGTTCCAGAAGAGATGCCACATGGAGTGACTGCTCCCTGGGGGGCCCACGGAAACCATGCAGCTTCATCTCTCAATAGAATGACTCCATCTACACTACATATGCACACCTGTGTGCACATGTGTCCACACACATAATGAATTAACACACACGTGTGTACAAGGCACAGCACACAGAGCACACACCCATACACATGCACACACCCACAGTAGCACATGTACATACACCCATGTACATGCACACTCAAGGGCCACACGCATGTACCTCACATGAGTGCATGCGTGTGCACACATATATGCATGCGTGCACACACACGTGCCCACATAGTGTGGGTAGGGGAGAAAGGGGAGAGACACAGAAGCATTGAGAACAGATAGACTGCCAGAGACGCAGCCCAGAGCTGAGGTCGCCCTGCACGCCCTCCCGCTGGCCCCTCAGATGCCCCTCAGCCTGTCAGGTCCCACCCAAATGCCCTGCATGTCCCAGAGGGGCTGCGGGGCTCCTGCCTGGACTGCACACCCTCCCGCTGGCCCTTCCGGTGCCCCATGGCCTGTCCGGTCCCACCCAGAGGCCCTGCATGTCCAGGAGGTGGGGGCAGCGGGGCTCTTGCCTGGACTGCAGGCTCTTGATACGGGACAGCATGTCCAGGTGGCCAGCAGAGTACTGCTCGATGACATCCATCACATCATATGGCCGCAGACTCTCCTTGAACTTTCGCTTGGACACCAGGAACCTCATGACACTGTAGGGTGTAGGGAGCCATGAACCCCCTGCAGAGACCACCTGGCCACACTCTGACTAGGCGGGCCCTGACATAAACCTGCCTCTTGTCTTCCCAGCATCTCTGCGACCACAGCACCTAGAGATGGCTGGAGGATGCATCCCTCTTATCTGGGCCACTCACACATGGCCTCCTGGCCTCAGTCCCACTACACTCAGGACCGGCAGGGCCCACTGGGCAGTCATACACCAGAACTCCCTGCCACACCAGATGTGGGTTATGTGTGATAAGGAGCCAGACCAAAGGGTCTGGTCCCCAAACTAGCCCTGAGGCCTATGAGCCAGAAGTAGTAGACCCAGGACACCGCTGGCACCTCTTTTCTCTCGCCCTCTCTCCTGGCAGACGGCCTCTCGTGGGTCTGCCTGGCACCATGAGACCCTCCCGCTCCCAGCTGTGGCCACAAAGCTCACCACACAGCTCTGATGCTGACTTTGAGGCCCGGAGTCAGGTCCTCGGTCACAAACTCGCAGTTACAGGTCTTGTCATCCACGACGTCCTCCCCCGGTAGACTTGCTTCTGGGTGGAAGGAGACAGACTGTGAGGATGGGCACACCTGGGATATCATACCTATGGTCCACAGCACACACTCTCCAGGCCGGGCATTGGGGACCCTCATAGCCCCCAAGTGTCCCACTGGACTCAGCTGCTTCCCTAGAAACTCACCCCTCTGCCCAGCCTCTGTGGCCAGCTCCTCTGACCAGGGACCTTCTTGGGCAGGCTGTGGCCAGAAGATGGCCCATGTGAGGGCTTAAAAAGGGCATCCCTGTCAGCAGATGGCAGGGACACACCATGGAACAGTAGTCAGCCAGGAGGAAGAAGGAGGTCCCAACACACACCACAGCACAAGGGAGCGTGACAGGATGCTCAGTGAAAGGAGCCACACATGGCCAGCAGGCACAACCATTCAGACACCCACGAGCTTGGTGCTGGCTGGGGTTGGGGAAGGGATGAGCACAGGTCTCCTGCTGGGGCAATGGAATATTCCAGAAGTACACTGAGGTGATGGCAGCACAACACTCTGAATGTACCGAGGGCCACTGAATTTGTGCACTTTTAAACAGCTCCCTTTATGTTGCATGAATTTCACCTCAGTTGAAAGGAGCGGAGCTTCCTGCTCCCAGGCAGGAAGAGGGGAGTGTGGGGCGGCCACACCCACCTTCCGAGTTCTGCCGAGATGCGGCACCCTTGATCCGGAAGGCCTGGCGTGCCCGGCTGCGGTCCCCAAAGCTCCAGCTCTTGGGCACCTTGCTTGGGCTGTCCTCCAAGCTCTGGTCTGCGCTGGGTGACCGCCGGACAGTCTGGGCCTGAGGGGACCCCTTCCCCTTGGCAGCCACGCCTCGGGGGCTGGAGAAGACACGATCTTTCAAACTGACCTTCTGACTGCTCCCGCGAGAACCAATAGACAGACAGACACAGAGAAACAGCAAGAGAAGTCACTCTGGAAGGAACACAGGCAGGCGGTGCTGACACCATCCCACAGTCAGGTGGGGGGAGATGCAGGACCATGTAGGGGGCAGCTCAGGGCAGCGGCTGAGGGGACCAAGCTCAGGTCGGGGGGCGGGTGAACAGCAGATTCCTGGGCCCACACCAGGTAGGCCAGAGCTTGGCTGTGCTGGGGAGGCCATGGTGAGGTCTGTGGATGCTTTTTCTTTTCTAGAGACCAGTCTTGCTCTATAGCCTAAGCTGGGGTACAGCAGCATCATCACAGTTCACTATAGCCTCCAGCTCCTGGGCTCAAGCTATCGATCCTCCTGCCTCAGCCTCCCAAGCTGCTGGGACTACAGGTGTGAGGCACCAAGTCTGGCCAGCTGTGAACTTTCAAGTCACTTCCAGCTACCACTAGCAGTTGCGGGAGTCTCCTCACAACATCCTGTACCCCAGGTGGCTGGCAGAGCAGTCTCCCCCAATGCCTGGGACTGTCTCTGGATACCTTATATCTGCCCAGCCTGGGAGTATCTTTCCTGCCAGGCCTTCCACAGCCTGTAACTGCTCACAGGAAGTGCCCCCCTGGGTCTCCAGCCTCCAGCTCCAGAGCCAGGGGAGGCTCTGTCCACAGCCCATTCTTGTGCAGCCACATGCTGGGCCTTTCCCACCCACCCTGGGGAGGCTCCCTGGTCAGAAGGGGCTTTGGGAGGGCTCAGGCCTCCTCTGTGGCTCAGGCTGTCCTGTCTCTGGGCTCCACCCCCACCAGAACATGTCCATCCAAGAAGTAAACATCACAGCTTCTGGGAAGATGGAATGGATGAGGCTAGCCCTAGGGTAGAAGGACCTCGGACAACACCCCAGACCTGCATGGTGGAAGCAAGGCTCACAGCTGCGTCCCACCAGGCCACCTATCTCCATATCTGTGAGGGTCCTCAGGCCTCCTTTGTCCCTATGCCACTAGTTCTAAGGACAGAGGGATGGCAGGTACACCAAGCAAGCGTGGCCTCCCCCTTTGGCCTGGAAGGCATCAGGCTCTACTCACTTCCTCCTACCAGCCTGTCAGAACTTCCCATGGCCATGTATGCTGTCCCTGGGGCCTGTGACAAGCCCAACGTAGTCACCAATGTCTCTGACACCCACTGCCGGCCCCTGCCATGGTGCCCATGGCCAAAAAGACATGTCCACCAGACGGCACAGAGAAGAGAGTCAACGGCACGCTGTCCACCCAGCCCAGACAGTGCAGATGGGATGTAGCCCTCTCTCCAGCCCACCCTCCAGGCAGCAGGCAAAGGCTGAGGCCATCTTCACCATTTAGAAGTGTCTGAGAGGAAAAGGGGAGCCCCCAGAAGCCAGCTAGGGCCCACTCTCCTGCAGAGCTTCCTCACAGCCAGGTCTCCATGCTGAGGACTTGAGTCCAGGAGTCATTACCAGTTAGGAAGTGAGGAGAGGAACTCGAGTCCATGGGGAGCCACAGGGAGAGGCTAGAGGTGAAACCCACAGGCCCCCAAAGGAGGGGAGGGAGGCGAGGAGAAAGGAGCATGAAGCAACAGCCTCCAGCCTGGTGGGACCCTCTGCTAGACATGACCCTCCACTGGACACAGAGCCAGGGGCCCCCAGGAAATGCAGCCCCCATGTGTTTCCCAGGACCCATGGCAGAGGCAGTGTCGCACACACACGGAACCACTGGAGGGGCCTCGCCTGGACCTCCACAGTCGTGGACACTCCCCACTCTCCGAGCACACTGGCACACACCACCCAGCCCTCAGCACTAGGGCTGACCTCAATGCAGAGTCTGTCAGATTCTCTCTCACCCCGTAGCCAAGGACAAAAGCACACTCAGGGCCAGGCTCTCCTGGCTGGGCCGGCTGCCTGGGAGAGTGAGCCGTCAGCCAGGGCCACAGGGCATGTGCCAGGGGCACTGTGGCATCTGCACAGCAGCACTCACGGGGCCAGGCCCAAGCTTAGGATCAGTATGGGGAAGAAGCCCAGCCCCAGAGCTCCTGCCCACCTGGCACAAGCAGGAGATTGCCCTCACTCCGTGCCAGTGGGGTGCCACCATCCATAGAGACCTGCTCGGCCCCATCTGCACGACGGCAGCCCAGAGGTCTGCTTGGCCCCATCTGAATGATGACAGCCCAGAGAGTGTTGGGGGATGAATGGGCATCCTGAGAGATCGTGCAAGCAGGCAGAGCATGGCCTGGATCGTGCTGGCCCAGGTTCCCAGCCACCCCATACTTCCAAGCTTATCTGGACCCCAGCAGCCCCTGCCCTAAGAGACCAGCCTTGGCCAGAAGCACCCTAGACACCGAAGAGCTGGGCAAGCAGGACAGCCTCTACCAGGGTCCAAGCAGACTGTATCTCCCAGGAGGCCACCCGCCCTCTCCCCCCAGGGCTGCCAACTGTCTCCCCCACAAGCAGCGGAGAGAAGTCACGCAGAGAAATGTGGATGGAGAAGGGTCCAGAGCATGCAAGGACACGGATGCACAAGCACGCATACCGAGCCTGGCCCTGCCTCTGTGCCGTCGCTCCCAGGGCCAGCACTGGCCAATTGCATGCACAGGCCAGAGGCCGCCACACAGCCCTCACAGCACCACTGCACTTATGTTGCTGGGAGGGAGAGATCCCCAGAGAAAGCAGGAAGACAGGCACCTTCTCAAGCCGACAACCAGGTGGGCAGAGCAGAGAAGGTGTAGTCAGGGCGCAGGCAGGGTCTGGCTGCACAAGCAGCTTCCCACCATCCCGCTCCAGCCTGCCCCATGCTGGGCCTATAAATGGGCAGGGGCAGCCACAGGCCTTGGCTCTCTGGAGTGTCTGTCGTGTCAGGACAGAGCTGCTTCCTGTGGGTGAGGCAGCCGGCAAGGTATGCAGGAGAGATGCCAGTGACCAGCCTGAAGGAAATGCCCCTGAGAGCAGTCAGGGGCCCAGGAGGTGCAGACACCTTGCTGGGCTCAGAGCCCTGGCCAGCTGCCCTGCAGGGCACATGACCTCACCTCTGCCCAGCTTGCCCTACACTTAGGGCCACAGTGAGACCAACGGGCACCAGGCCCTACTGCAAGGGGCTTGGGGAGGCCAAGCTGCCAGTCAGAATGGGCTGGAGCGCCAGCCTCCTCATATCCCCAGAACCTCTGATAAGCAGGCAGGCGAGGGGCCGTGCAGCAGGGGCCAGTCCGTGCGGCGCGTTCCATGGTACCTAGAGCGTCCAGGGCAGCATCCACACGGGGACCCTCTGCACGGTCTGCCTTTACTGCAAATGAGGAGAGCACAGTTAGTCCTGGGGCGTGACCAGGGAGCGGATAACTGAGGCATGGCACACCTTGGAGTGGCTCCAGGCTCACGGTCCTGGCCACCAAGTTTGTCTCCAAGCAAGGACAGTGGGGAAGGTGCCCCAAAGTTGTCCATGGCCTGGAAAAGAAAATAGTTCCCTATTTTAGGAGGAGAAAAGCCCCTGGTTTTTCTCCTCCAAAAATATATTTTCCTTCCAAAAGCACAGCTTGGGCTTGTGTCTTAAAAGATGTATTATTTTTTGCTATTTTCATGCCAACCAAAAAATAATACACAGGGAAAGACTTTGCAAAGGCCTGGATCTGGATGAACACAATTCCAGGCAATAAAATGAGCACATTGCTGGGAAACCAGTGCAGTTGGGCTTTGCAGACTGTCAACAGGGCCCTGCCACGCCGCTGGTTCCCCTAAGAAGTAGGCCGTGGTTCAGTGGGGACAACAGCCGCCACCTGCAGGAGGGGAGCCCCACAGGGCTTGTGGCCACGGGGGGGGGGGTTGGACGCACCTGTGGGCTCTTCCTTGAAAGGCCCTGCAGGTGTTGGGCATGTGCCCAAGAACCTCTCAGAGACCCTTGAGATTCAGCTCTGCATTAGAACGCGCAAATTTTAAAGCAAAAATGGAAATAAGCAGCTACAAAAAATCTCTTTCCCTCCAGGTCTCTCCCTGCCACAGCAGCCGCTCCACCTGCCATGGTTCTTCTCAGACTGCACCAGGAATGCGGGAGGGCAGCTGGTCCCCACCACAGGATGGCAGGCTCCAAGAGAGCGCCCGGCATCCCACTCTCCTCCGCAATTTGACGTATACACTGGTGCTCCCCACTGCAAGCGACTCTTCCCTTAGGCATAAAAGACACACTTGCTAATTCTGTAAAAGAGCATCTGCCATCCAGACAACCCCCCACCTGTGCAGGGCAGCTTCTGACCAATGGAGAGCCAGGCTCTGTTCTCAGGGTGGGGCAACTGACCTCTGTCTGCTAGCCCCAGGCAGCGCCCTGCCCTAAGGCCCTGGCTGTTCATGAAGCCCCTTGTGGGGGCAGCTGCTGTCATTCAGGGCGGCTCCATGCCAGTCCCACCACAGCCTGCCCCTCAGAAGACCTGAGAATCTCCTCAGGTCTCCTAGGCCCAAACACAGCTCCCCCAGGAAGGTGCTGGAGGGAGGCACAGCCCTGGGGTCCCAAAACTTTGGAGGTTCCAGCTGAGACCTCAGCTTTTTTTTTTTTTTTTTTTTTTTGAGACATAGCCTCAAGCTGTCCCCCTGGGTAGAGTGCC